CCGCCCTCCTTTATTCCGATTCAGAAGCAGCAGCAACTGCGCCCCCTTGTGGCTGCTCCGCTGCCTGGGAGTTCCATTCCGGGCCCAACACGAACTGCGCAAGCGCACCAGGCGTCCTCCGTGAGGTGGGGAGGGAAAGAGAGCGGGGAGAACCTTTGCCGAGGCTTTAAAAGCGAGCGGGAGCCGGAGGCGCTCCACCCCGCGCATGCGCAAAACGAGCTGGGGAACGGGTCGACTGACGTCAGAGGCCCATAGACTCAAATTAGTAGAGCCGGAAGACACGGCCGTGTTGGTCTCTGTGCAAGCCCATCGGGCAAAATCCAAAGGAACGGAACGGAAACGAAACAAGGAGAAAGAAACGCCCTCAAGAAGGAGCCGCTCCATTTTAATGCCAGCCGTCGTGGCTCCCGGCCCATTTCCTCGGGCCTCTCGAGGGTGCAGATCGTCCGTCCGCCGGCAGGGGGCGACGACTTCCGCTTGCGGCCCCTTTGGACTTCCGGGGCGGCGGAGAATTCGAACCCAGGACCGCTTTCCTCCCCTTCCCCCCCTCCTGGTTTTGCGGCCGGCAGGTGAGGACGCGACCCCCCCCGGTGACCCGGATCTTGTTGCTCCTTTCCCCCCCCCCCCCGCCCTCCTGGTTTTGCGGCCGGCAGGTGAGGACGCGACCCCCCCCGGTGACCCGGATCTTGTTGCTCCTTTCCCCCCCCCCCTTCCCGTCCCGCTCTGCTCTGGGGGAGGGGGAAACACCCGAGGGCCCCCCCAGGTTCTCCAGGGGAGCCTCTTCGTGCGCCCCCCCAATGCCTCCGAGAGACGCCCACCCCTCCGCGCACGGGGGAGTGTTGGAGGGCAGACCCCCCTCCCTGGCTCGGGCTGAGGATGATGGGGCTTGTAGTCCGCGCCCGCCTGGAGGGCGTTTAGGGGACCGATGGGGGGGAGGACGGTGCCCCTCCTGGGGGGGGGAGAGAGAGAGAGAGAGACCCGAACAACCCCCCCAACCCGCTCCCCAGACCCC